GAGGAGTGGCTGGTGGGTTTGAACCGCCAGCCTTCTGGTTAGCAGTCAAGTGCTTTAGCCACTATGCTACCAGAGCTCCTTAGTAGGTGCTTAAAAAGCTGGTGTAACACATTCAATAAAAATGTAAGCAGAGGAAAGGCCAGCTGTTTCAAAACAGGCTACAATATGTGTCTGCAGATGAATTCATTCTCTCCATAAATTTTAACAGTAACAACAAATAGACTTAAAGAGCAGATGGTAAACCAACATGGTATGAAAAAGGAGTTTCCAGAGTTAAGGAAAGGGAGCTCTCATAGCGTAGTGCCTAAGGCATTTGACTGCTAACCAGAGGGCTGGCAGTTCAAACCCACCAGCCACTCCTCGGAAGGAAGATGGGGCAATCTACTTCCGTTGTGATAAGGCCTCGGAAACCCAAGGAGGGGTCGCTATGAGTCCAGTCCACTCGATGGCAAATAACAACACCAACAGAATTAAGAAAATAAAGACTCAAATAATACCATTAAACCCGATAGCCTGGAATTTTATACACAGACTGTCCTAAATGCAAATATGGATATTTTTTTTTCTTCCTTACCAATCTGTATGCCTTTTATTTCCCTTTCCTGCCTAATTGCCCTTACTTAAATCTCCACTAGAATATTAGGTGGGATTGGTGAGAGTGGACATCTTGCTTTGTTACTGATTTTTTTATGAAAGGTGTTTAAATATCAATTCAATTTAATAGTTATAGAACTATTCAAATTATCTACTTCATACTGGATGAGTTTAGACAGTCTGTGGTTTTTGAGAAATTGGGTAATCTAAGTTGTCAAATCTATGTGCATAGAGTTATTCGTTAACAGCAACAACAACAAAAAACCATATCCACCACTGCTGTCAAGTCAATTCTGACTCGCAGTAACGCTACAGAACAGGGCAAAACTGCCCTATAGTATTTCCAAGGCTGTAAATCTTTTATGGCAGCAGACTGCCACTACTTTCTCCATCTTTCGATTAATAGGCAAGTATTTAACCACTACACCTCCAGGGCTCCATAATATGCCCTTATTTTCCTTTTAATAGCTGCATTATCTTCAGTTATATTTCATTTCATTCCTGATATTTGATAATCTACGATTTGTCTTTTTATCTTAGTAACTCTTGCTAGAGATTATCAATTCTGTTGATCTTTTCAAAGAATCAATTTTTTATTTCACTGATTTTTCTTTTTTTTCAATCCATTTTCAATTTTTTTTTTTAATGCTCTGAAACTTTCTTCAGCTTGCTTTGAGGTTTTGATTTTTGTTTTCCCCTCTTCTATTTACCTTAGTGGGTGCTTACATTGTTCATCTGAGACCTTTCCTCTTTTCTAATTAGGCATTTAATGCTATAAATTATGATCTCAGCACAACTTTAACTACAGCCTTCTAGTTTTGATATGCAGTAATTTTCATTTTCATTCAGTTCTAAGTATGATGATTTCCTAACAGAATTCTCCTTACACCCACAAATTATTTAGAAATGTGTTGATTTTCAATAAAGTACTATAAAGAAATCCTCACAACTGGACCAATGAGCAGCATCACAATAAATGGAGAGAAGATTGAGGTTGTCAAAGAATTCACGTTGCTTGGTTCTACAATCGATGCCAACGGAAGCAGCAGTCAGGACATTAGACGACGTGTAGCATTGGGAAAGTCAACTGCGAAGGAACTGTTTCAAGTGCTGAGGAGCAAGGATATCTCATTGAGGACTAAGGTGCGCCTGACACAAGCCATGATATTTCCAATCGCCTGTTATGCATGTGAGAGCTGGACAATGAATAAGGAAGACCGAAGAAGAGTTGATGCTTTTGAGTTGTGGTGCTGGCGGAGAATGCTGAAAGTACCATGGACTGCTAAAAGAACTAACAGATCTGTCCTGGAAGAAGTGCAGCCAGAATGCTCCTTGGAAGCAAGAATGGCCAGACTTGGTCTCACCTATTTTGGTCATGTTGTAAGAAGGGACCATTCCCTGGAGAAGGATGTCATGCTTGGTAGGGTGGAGGGTCGACGAAAGAGGGGGAGGCCTTCAACAAGATGGATTGATACGGTGGCTGCGATGATGGGATCAAGTATAGCAGGGATTGTGGGGCTGGCACGGGATCGGGCAGTGTTTCGTTCTGCTGTGCATGGGGTCGCTATGAGTGGGAAACGACTCGACGGCACTTAACAACAACAACAACAACAACAACTATAAAGAAAAACAGAGCACTATAGTAGAAAATAAAATGAGAGGTACACATTTGACTCAGCAATCCCATTACCAGGTATATATCCTAAAGAAGTGAGAGCCAGGACAAGAACAGATATATGCACACCCATGTTCATCACAGCACTATTAACAACAGCAGAAAGATGGAAACAACCTAGGTGCCCTATCAACAGAAGACTGGATAATCAAAGTATGGTACATACACACAACAGAGTATTATGCAACCCTAAAGGATAACACAGAATCTGCAAAACACCACATAATGTGGATGAACTTGGAGGACATTATGCTGAGTGAAATAAGTCAATCACAGGAAAATACTGTATTAGTCTGCTATTGTAAAAAGTCAAGGAAAGATTTATATTATGGAACGAAAATTTCTTTTTGTTGGCTGGGGTGGGAGGGGAGGGGAAGGAACACTGTTAGACAGGTAGAGACAAATACTGATTTGGGTGAAGGGAAGGGCCATGTACCAAATGTGAGTGAGCAACATGACGGCATTGAGGAAGATGTAGAGAGGTACATGGGAGGTAAAGACAACAAAGATAAACCTTGATCTATGGGTGGATAGAAGGGTGGATAGGCTGAAAGATCAAGTTTGCCTACGTAGGTGGGAGTGTGCCCATGACCATGTATAGGGCTGGCAGACAATGTTTCTACAAGTGTATCATGACAGAATAGAAGGCCAGTATATGCACACGGAGACAGCTCGGGGGTCAGGAGTGCATGGGAAGGAAAGACACAGGGAAGAGTTAAGTATAAGAAGGATGTGGGAAGAGAACTTTTACATTGTGGGAAAACTGCAGTCAATGTCAAGAGGCAAAATGTGTATGAACTGCTGTATGCAAAATGAATTTGCTCCATAAACTTTCACCCAAATCACAATAAAAATTTAAAAAATAAAAGAAAAAAGAGAGAAAGAGAAGTCCAAATTTAGAAAGGGCAATCAAAAAATGGCAGTGACACTGAAACTAAGACCTAAAAGACAACAAAGAAACCAATTATACAAAAGCCAGCCTCTGGGAAAAAAAAGATTAAAAAAAAAAAAAAAAGTAGCCACTAACAAGAGAAGGATGAAGTCCCTAAAGCAAGGAAGAGTTTGAACACTCTGAACAGTAGTGTGCAAGGTCACCCACATTAAGTGTGAGAAGAAAATAGCAGTGCAAACGTAATATGATTGGCTGCTAACTGAAAGAGTACAGAGTCCACCCAGAAGGGTTTCAGAAGAAAGGCCTCGTAA